AAAACGGTTGTGTTTAATTGGTGAAATAAATGCTAGGGAGTTACCCCCAAAACGTGTGTGATATAAATGCAGAGTAAAAGCGGAAGTAAATAAATAAGTCCAGTCCAAAATAGGTAAAACGAAAAATGGTGAGTTCATGCCCAAATGTTAAATTAAATGTTTATAAATATTATACTTGTCCGTGCGCCGCCCATCTCCTCATCATCAATGTTCATCAGCGTTGGCACCTGTACCGTCATGTCTACCTGCGTGTAGCAAAAACAACTACACGCTCAGCAAAAGCTGAGGAGTAAATCTAACAAAAGAACATGGAGTGATAACCCATATGATTATACACATATTAATACCTGTACTTAGCGTACGGAAAACCACATGTTTACTAACTGTTTAGTTTGCATCTATTGGGGTACTATTACATATAACAAAATGATGTGCTACTACATTGAATGTTGATGTGACGTGGAAAATACATAATGATGATAGGACTTGATGCATGACTTAAACTATCAGGGACACCCCTGGCTTAGTCTCACTTGACAGGATCACCCCTGCACTCCGGTTATCATACCGAAATGGTGATGAGCCGGGCTCGACGTAAATGTCGCAAGTGGACTAACAAAACCGAGTAGTAGTCGTAACCTGACTACTATGTACGTACACAAAGCCCACCTGATGATAACCCGTTGGATCCCAAAGGTTCTTGGACGGGCCCACTGTAGCAGGCGCACGAAAGCATTACCTCCCTACAGCGGTATGCACATGATCATAGACCTAGGACATGCGTCTAGAATGAACATGATGAATGCTTGATAAATTTACCTTTGGTGAACACCAAGAATATATCAATTAAATAACATACATAATGAAGATTAAGATTTCATGCAAACATACAATCAGATTTTGAGTCAATATGGTCAACGGGGCTCGTTCTACAAACTGCCCGGAATTCTACCCACGGAACGGTTCACCGTGCCCTACCGGCGGTCGACCGTGGGCTATGGTCTTGGTCTGGGGCACAAACGGTCCACCGTCGCGGCCGGAGGTCGACCGTCACGGTGGTGATGGTCAGAATGGCCGAGGGAACGGTCCACCGTCCGTAGCGGCGGTCGACCGTCCCGAAGACCGTCATCTGTCCTTGGCTTCGTTTTGATCCCTTTTGAAAACTTAACACCTTGATTCTTTTTAGAACGATATTACAAACATTTTTGAATATATTCCTAGAGATTCCTATGCCAATATTTATAGGTTTACGTGGTGAACGTTTTTGATGGTTAACCTACGAACATACATAGATTCTACGTAGGTTGCGTACGATATTCCTATGAATATAACGACATAGGTTATAACTAAATGTTCTAAAATTAGAGGAGACAACTACTCGCCCCTAAACGAAGGGATTGACGAAATGATGAAACGAGATGAACGAACGGTTGACAACGTTGAACAACGAATGGTTTCTCGTGGACATCTCCTTCTCTTCTTCCTCCTCGTCTACTCACCGGAACTGTCTCCGTGGGCTGCTACTGCTTGGCCGAACAAGAGAAGGGAGAAGGGAGTTGAGTGTGTGAGTGGAGGTTACAAAATGTGATGGGGAAGTGAAGAGAGAAGGGGGGGGGGTTTAAATGGAGGACATTAATGGGGAATTATTGGGTTACTAATGACGAATTAAAGGGAGAGGAGTTATGGGAGATGAAGGGTGTGGCGTGTGGAGTGGGAATGGGAGTTACTTCCCATCAATTCTATTCCGTTATGTAAAATCTGACCCGAATAGTACGTGGTTTTCCCCCGAACGGGTCGGAATTGAGATCCATTTGTGTTTCCGGAATCAGACAGTCAAAACGAACTTAATGACATGTTCAAATAATTTTTCTAAGAACTTTTATTTTCCCCAACATCCGGATCTATGCCAATCATTAATTAATTTATTTACTTAATTAATGTCGAAAGACTCGTTATTAAAACATCTTTTATAATTAAAATACATTAGCTTTGGAAAGCCATTTATTGAGATTGAAATCTCAATATTTATTATTAAAAATAATGAGTCTCAATAAATAAATTATATTTATTTATTTAAAATATTGGCTAGCTATTAGGCCAGTTTGTAGGGCGTTACACACAGACATCACTTTCGACTGAACAACTAGTAAAGAAGGCATACCTTACAAGGGACAGATTCAAAAGTGGTGTCACTTACCTATTTTTTTCTTGTTTTCAATTGTGGCATGTTGTCGACCCCCAACCCCCCTTATCAAATTTTCATTCATGTGTGGGATTTTTGGAATATTTGGCATTTTAATATGCATTAAATGGATCAATTTGGGTATGTTTATCAATAGGTCCACTAACGGTTTTAACCATTAACTAATGTACGTAATTCTCTTAAATGACATAAATGTTTTGATAACTTATATGCTAAAAATGGTAGAGGGTGAATCAGAAAATTCTCATAATTAACTCGTTAATAGAAGAATATGGAAAGAATTGCAATAATTTTAGAAGTTCTATCGAACCAATCTTCAATTATTATTTTTTACGTGGTCTTTAAAATTAGCCCAATTTTACAGAGTCAACTTACCATTAATCTCCAATTAAATGGGATAATTTCTTAAATATAAACGTGTGTAACATCCATTTTAATGGTGAGACATTAATATGCCACGAATAAATTAAAGAATGTGGCGGATACTTATTACACCACCAATGATATTAATGGGTATCAGTGGGTACTTAATACATACATTACATTTGGTTTTGCCTATTAAAATACATTGGAGCATCTCTCGTATTGTGAATATAGTTCATGCGATAGTGTGTGGTTGGTGGATACAATCATCACACACCATAGTGTTTTTATCCTAGGAGGTGAGTGTCCATGTTTTCTGATACGGTAGTAGGGGAGGGTACTACTACCTTAATGACCGCTCTGCAGACTCCGCTACCCTTCCTTAGTGTTTATCTTTTATCTTTTGTAGGTTCTGTTCACAATGACCTCACTGCATTCTTCCCTAGACCATAATATTCTAGATGGTGTTCTGGTTCTATCCATATAGTCCTCGCTGCTACTCTAGTGGCATGGCCACTACTCACTGTGTGCTCGCCTCAGGCTTACTACTCAGTCTAGTAAGTCCAGTGCATAATTTCCTCGTACAGCAAGACCTTTTGAAGATCCAGAAACTATTTTTCAGATTTGTTTATTTTGTAATATTCTAAATAAATTATATATAAATTCAAAATTTTATCTAATATAATTATTTTTGGCTGTTCATCTTCCCTATCCATTGTAATCCGTACGAGCATTTATTGTAACATCTAGACCCTTTCAACAATTGACTATCACCTTATGGTGAATCGATTGTCAACCATTATGTCAAAACTTGACCAGCAATCAATTGTCAACTTTTCACAATCGTTTGTCAACCTAGAAAATCCTGACCAATCTTTTTATATTGCTTATTTATTGTTTGATTGATTCCCAATCAATGAGCAACGATCACAAACCTTTTTAGCCGATAAATTGAGGCATTTTTCTTTGGTTTTGAGTGAACCACTTCTCTCATTCTTTATAACTTTTTCATATCATTTGTGCATCAAATCTAAAGCTCTTAGCTTGTTGAGACATTTGAGAGATTAATTTTTGTTGTTCACAGAGCTTATATTGTATCTTTTCTTCTTCTCTAAAAGAGAGTTCAATTTGCAAACAGATGATCTAAGATCAATTCTTCTCGTTGAGCGTTTAGTTTGCTAATTAAGAACATGTAATCTTATTAGTGGTTGATGTCTTGGGCGAGCTTTTCAAGCGGCGTGTAGTCTTGTAGAAGAGACATTTACAAGCACTTGTAATGGTTTCTTTGTTGGCTTTTGGGCTCACTTCTTATGTGGAGGCCCAAGTAAAGCCCAATTCTTCACAAGCCCACTCTTTGATGAAATAAGAGGTTAACAAGAGGTTGAATTAGGGTGGCGAGTAGAAAACGAGAGAGAGAGCAGAAAAATCGAGAGAGAGAAGGAAGCTGTTCATTTTTCAGATTTCTGTGTGCAGCGTTTTTCAAACTGATGTTTGGAGGGTCAAACAGTGTCCGATTGTTCTGCAATTTTAGGGGCAGGTTCGGGACACATTGAACTTGATTTCCGCTGGTCAGTTTTGGATTTGAAGGTCTGCAGGCCGAGATATTTGCATCTGAACAGAGGCAGTATTTTCTGGTTTTTTCTGCGTATTCTCTAGTTGTTTGCTCCTTGTTGTGGCATTATATTTGCAGTATCTTTATACTGATTTCAGCCCTTGTTTGAGACACTCTTGTACCCTATTTCTGGTCATAGTGGAGCTTGCTTGGTGGTCTTTGTGACCCGTGGTTTTTACCCTCGATTTAAGGGATTTTCCACGTAAAAATTCTGGTGCATCGTGTCTTTATTGTTTGTGCTTATTTGCTATTAGATTGTTGCTGTTTTTGATCCTCTTACTCTTGCAAGTGGGGAATTAGTTTTTGGTGTGGTTGTATTCTCTTCTTAATTCCCATTAGAGTGGTATCGGAGCTTTGTGTTCAGTTACTATAGTGTTGTTGTGCTATATTCTTGTTTGAGTGATGGAGACAAATACAAGACGGATGATTAGTTTGGATGGCACAAATTATCATATATGGAAAGGAAAAATGGAAGACCTCTTGTATGTGAAAGATATGGATTTGCCTGTTTTTTCTATTGAGAAGCCTGCATCAAAATCTGAAGAGGAATGGAAGCGTGATCACTGACAAGTTTGAAGCTTTATTAGACAATATGTGGGTGATAATGTTTATGGTCTGATTGCAAATGAAACACATTCCAGGTCACTTTGGGAGAAACTCGAGTCCATGTATGCATCCAAATCTGGTAATAACAAGTTGTACTTGTTGAAGTCTTTGATGAACTTGTCTTATAAAGAAACAACTCCTTTGTTGGATCACTTGAATGCATTTCATGGTATTTTAGATCAGTTATCTGGTGTTGGTATAAAGCTTGAGAATGAACTAGCTGCTCTTTGGTTGCTAAACACTTTGCCTGAATCTAGGGAGATATTTAGGGTCTCAATTATCAATTCTGCCCCGGATGGTATTGTATCCTTGCAAACTATAAACCAGCTATGCTTAATGAGGAGATGAGAAGGAAGGTGCAAGGTTCTTCATCTCAATCAGAGGTGTTAGTTACAGAACATATGGAGAGGAATGCTAACCGAGATCAAAGAGGTAGAGGGAAATCCAGAAGCAAGTCCAAGTCCAGATATAAGAATGTTGCGTGTCATTATTGTCACAATACAGGACACATCAAGAAAAATTGCTTCAAGTGGAAAAGAGATAACAAGCCTAAAGGCAAGAATGAGAAAAAGGATGAAGGTGCTAACCGTGTTTCTACTGCTGATCTTGTTGATGATTTGATCTTTGTCACCAATGCAGATGTGGTTAATGCAGTGTCAGATGACCAGAGCTGGGTTATTGATAGTGGTGCTATGTTGCATGTGACTCCAAGGAAGGAATTCTTCACATCCTTAAAGGCTGGCAGTTTTGGCAAATTGAAAATGGGCAATGATGCAGTTGTAGAGGTTGTTGGAATTGGAGATGTCTGCTTAGTGACTCAGATGGGTACAAAGTTGCTCCTAAAAGATGTTAGGTATGCTCCTGATGTTCGCTTGAATTTTATTTCTGTTCATAGACTTGATGATGAAGGTTATGAAAACCATTTTGGTGGTGGACAATGGAAGCTTAAAAGGGGAAATCTGGTAGTGGCTCGTGGCAAAAAGGAGTCCAAGCTGTATCGATTGGAAAGTGTGCTCTCTCATGATGTGAATGGTGATGTTAATGTTATAGAAAGTTCAAAAGCATCACATTTGTGGCATCGTAGGCTCAGTCATATTAGTGAGAAGGGGTTGAATCTTTTGGCTAAGAAATATGTACTGCCTGGTTTGAAGAATGCAGAATTGGAGAAGTGTTATCACTGCTTGGCAGGAAAACAAAGCAGAATATCCTTCAAGAAGCATCCTTCTTCGAGATGTGCTGAGTTACTTGAGTTGGTACATTCTGATGTGTGTGGACCTTTGAAGGTGAGATCATGGGGTGGTCCTTATTACTTCGTGACATTCATTGATGATCATTCCAGGAAACTTTGGGTCTATGCTTTGAAGACCAAAGATCAAGTGCTTGATAAGTTTAAAGAATTGCATGCATTAGTTGAGAGACAATGTGGAAGGAAACTGAAGTGTGTCCGTTCTGACAACGGAGGAGAGTATAGTGGACCTTTTGATGAGTATTGTAGCAAGCATGGTATTAGACATGAGAAGACCCCTCCAAAGACTCCTCAGTTGAATGGTGTGGCAGAAAGAATGAATAGAATATTACTTGAGAGAGTTAGAAGCTTGCTTTCTGAAGCTAAGCTACCTCGAATGTTTTAGGGAGAGGCGTTGTACACTGTGGCACATGTGATTAATCTTAGCCCCGTTGTTGTCCTTGATGGTGATGTCCCTGATAGAGTGTGGTTTGGAAAGAATATTTCCTATGACCACTTGAGGGTGTTCGGCTGCAAAGCATTTGTGCATGTTCTAAAAGATGAGAGGTCAAAGCTTGATGCAAAGACCAGATAGTGTATATTTCTTGGCTATGGTGGTGATGAATTTTGTTACAGATTGTATGATCCAGTGGAGAAGAAATTGGTTAGAAGCCGTGATGTGGTATTCATGGAAAACCAAACCATTGAAGATATTGATAAGGCGAGGAGAGCAAATCCCACAGATAGCTATGAGCTTATTGATGTAGAACCGGTTAGAGCTACTCTAGAACCTGAGATACCGCTTGAAAATGTTGATACGGATGCTGGTCAACCACATGGAGATGAGCTACATGTTCCCAGTGTAAATGGTGAAATGCAATCAGAGAAACCTCAAGATGAGGTTGTAGATCCACCTCAAGTCCCCCTTAGAAGATCTACCAGGGAGAGACGTCCATCCTCTACATATTCTCCAAATGAATATGTGACCTTGACTGATGGGGGAGAACCGGAGAATTTTCAAGAACCCATGGAGTGTGAAGATAAAGATGAATGGTTTCACGCCATGGAAGATGAAATGGAATCACTACATGAAAACCACACTTTTGATGTAGTGAAGTTGCCTAAGGGCAAGAAAGCTCTCAAGAACCGATGGGTTTACAGGTTGAAACATGAAGAAAAATTTTCATCTCTGAGATATAAAGCTAGATTAGTGGTGAAAGGGTTCAATCAGAGAAAAGGGATTGACTTTGATGAAGTTTTCTCACTTGTAGTGAGGATGACATCCATAAGAACAGTGCTGGGTTTGGCTGCTACTCTTGATTTGGAAGTTGAGCAGATGGATGTAAAAACTGCATTTCTCCATGGTGATTAGAAGGAAGAAATATATATGGAGCAACCCAAAGGGTTCAAGGTGAAAGGTAAGGAAGACCATGTGTGTCGGCTAAAGAAAAGCCTTTATGGCTTGAAGCAAGCTCCAAGGCAATGGTACAAGAAGTTTGAATCTGTCATGAAAAAAAAGGCTATAAGAAGACATCTTGTGATCATTGTGTATTTGTGAAAAGGTTTGCAAGTGATGATTTTATCATTTTGTTGTTATATATTGATGATATGTTAATTGTCGGGAAAGATATTTCCGAGATTGACAGGTTGAAAAAGCAATTATGCAGCTCATTTGCCATGAAAGACTTTGGACCAGCTAAGCAAATACTTGGTATTAGTATTGTGCGTGATAGAAAATAGAAGAAGCTTTGGCTTTCTCAACAAAAATATATTGAGAAGGTGTTGGACAGATTTAATATGAAGGCTGCAAAATCAGTGAGCACTCCTTTGGCTACTCATTTCAAACTTAGCAAGAATCAGAGTCCATCTTGCGAGGCCGAGAAGCTTGATATGATGAACGTTCCATATGCATCTGCGATGGGTAGTATGATGTATGCCATGGTATGTACAAGACCTGATATTGCACATGATGTTGGCGTTGTTAGTAGATTTCTTTCCAATCCAGGTAGAGAGCATTGGAATGCGATAAAATGGATTTTGAGGTATCTTAAGGGTACTTCTACTATGAAACTTTGTTTTGGTGGGGAGAAACCTTTACTTGTTGGTTATTGTGATTCTGATATGGCTGGAGATGTTGATTCTAGAAAATCTACTTCAGGTTATTTGATTAAGCTTGCGGGAGGTACTATTTCTTGGCAGTCCAGATTGCAAAAGTTTGTTGCCTTGTCCACTACAGAGGCAGAGTTTATTGCAATTACTGAAGCATGCAAGGAAATGCTGTGGTTGAAGAGATTCTTAAGAGAACTTGGCTTTACACAAGAGAGGTATAAACTACTTTGTGATAGCCAAAGTGCTTTACATCTTGCTAAGAATCAAACTTTCCATTCACGCTCAAAACACATCGATGTGAGGTATCACTGGATACGTGATGTATTGGATGTCAAGCTGTTGGAGTTAGGCAGTCACTACAAAAAACTGCTCAAATGGCGACGGAAAAATTCCGTCGCCAAAGCCTTATTTCCGTAGGTAATCGTCGTGACGACGAAAGTGGCGACGGAATAAATTCCGTCGTTGATTTTACGTTAGTAGTAAATGTGACGATGGATATTTGATTCTGTCGCTAAATTACGACGGACGTGGCGACGGAAATAAGCGACGGAACTCACGACAGAAAGTTTCCTTCGCTAAGCTTAACGACGGAAATAGCGACGGAATATGCATTTTGACCATATAGCGACGGAAATGACATTCTGTCGCCAATTTGACAGGTCACAACCAGGAAGCTGCTGTTTTTCCAATTTTGCACACATCCATAACAAAGCTCAGAAATCCTAGCATCAAACAACAACAATTACTGGAAATGAAGATTACCAAACAACCAAGAATATTCAAGTCACGAATGTACAACTAAATTTCAAATAATATTTATAAAAATTCAACATAACAATTAAATCTAACTCCACTTACATAACCATAAAACTTAAGTTTAATATATTGTTCTTCAATTCTAATAAAGCACTCAACAAGCCCCTGCAAACCCCGCCCCTCCTCCATCTCCACCGCCATCTCCATTTCCACGTGGGAAAACTCCTCCATAAAGTCGGGTCATCTGTTCTCTAATCGACAATAATTCACGCACTTAGGAAGTTCTAATTTCATCTAGCTCTTCTCTCAACCTCTGAATCTCATCATCTCGAGGGTCCCACATAGAGCTGGTGCTAGCACGTCTTGCCTCACTTGCATGCATTCGTGGTAGGCTCCGTGCGAGATCTCCAACACCATGAACACGATTCTTGGAATCATGTCCTCCGACTGTAGATAGAAAAATCTCGTCAGGTGTCACATTTAAGCCTTCTTCGTGAACTGCCTCCTGCATGGCTACGTAGTTTCGCTGCAATACACAAAACATACATGTATATATACTTTGTAACATAAAAAGCAAAATAAAATTAGCAGTATGAATTCACATTCAATTGAATCCAACGAAAACTAATCATTTATATATACATTATATATATTCATTGTCACTTACTGATACTTCTTCTGCCTTCTTATTGACGTAGGTCTTCCCATCATGTTTCTTCGTATGTGTGTGTGTACGAAGAGTACAAGTCAGAAGCCTTTCCACTTTTACCCTAAAAAATTTAAATATATAAATAAGTGAAAATACGTCACTTAGAACATTTAAATGTAATTTTTGTTACTAACAATACTTACAAGGCGCGCTTGACTCTCGCGAAAAGACAATGGACCACCAGTGTGTGTGGCGCTAGCAGGGGCATTCTCGTCACCGCCACGCTGATTTTTCTTGTTTTGCTTGGAGGATGCCAAGAACTTTGGTGACTTCCAATACTATTTAACAACATATAAATACAAGAATACAAATATATACACACAATTTGATGCTAAGTATAACATAACTCATCAATTCAAAAGATATTTAGAAATACCTCCTTCCACAATTGCGGTATAAGTGGCTGCACCTTCTCTGTTCCTTTCTTCTCATTCCTAATAGATGAGAGCCAATCGGTGTATCGTCTTCTAGCCTTCGATCGCCAAGCACAGAACATAACGCTATCATCAATGTGAGGGTCCCAAGTGGCATGTTTCTAAATTTAAAAAAAGAAGTTAGACCGGACATGTTAGAAAATATCTTAAATTAAATACAAAATATAGAAAGCATACATTTTATATTTGTATCTAACCAAATTTTGCCTGAAACTCTCTCCAGTAAAAGTCCACAGTCGCGTCGGTTTGTAAAAGTCCATAGTCGCCCAAACCAAAAACCAAGCCATTCGGCGTTTGGCTTTCAGAAATCGGCGTTCAGCATTCAGTTTTCGGCGTTGGTTTTTGGCGTCCGAACCAACCAAATGGTTTTCAAAATTTTATGATTGGTTTTTACTTCTGGGCACATTTAAATAGTTTTCCATCAAAAACACTTCAAAAACCACCTTTCGTTTTTTGTCGTTTGATAAAAACCATGAAAAAACGACATAAACTTGGCTAGTCGCGGTTTTTACTTAAATGAAGTGGTTTCGAGTCTTTTTGTTTGGGAATTGTTTTTCAATGCATTTAAATGGTTCTCCAATCAAAACATCATGAAAACCACCTTTCGGTTTTGTCTTTTGGTAAAAACCACCCGTGTACGGCGTTGACTTGGTCAACCGTGGTTTTTACCTTAACAACGTGGTTTTCAACTTACAAAGCTTGTTTTGACATCACAATACGTTAAATAAGTGTTTTAAATAATTAGTTTTTACTTTGGAGAACTTTGCATTTTTCGGTCAAGTTTCAGCTCCGCTCAGCTAGGCCATGGTTCTGGGCTGGCCATCTACCCAGCAATGGTAGATATCACCCATCCATGGGTAAGTGATCCCGGGATTCCAGAATCATGCCACCCAGCGATGGGAGATATTACCCAGCGATGGGTAAGCAGCCTTCAACCCAATTGAATTCCAGAACCATGCCAAACAGCGATGGGAAAATCTACCCATCGTTGTTGAAGCCTTGGTCCAATATAATCACAAGGCAGAATGTCCTCACCCAGCGATGGGAGGATATTACCCAGCCATGGGAAGGCATGACCGTTGGAAGTCATTTAAGGTTGATTCTTTCCTTGTTTGGAAGTCAACCTCCCACCCAGCGATGGGAAGCTTGTACCCATCGATGGGTAGGTGACCGTTGGCTTCAAAACTAAAGGAAAATTGGCTTCAAAACCAGCGATGGTTGAGTCTAAACATCGATGGGAAGCCAATATCTTGCAGATCCCAAATTTATTCAATCCCATAAATCAAGCCAATCACCCCTTTAATGTATTGGTCCGTTGGAGCCNATGGGAAGGCATGACCGTTGGAAGTCATTTAAGGTTGATTCTTTCCTTGTTTGGAAGTCAACCTCCCACCCAGCGATGGGAAGCTTGTACCCATCGATGGGTAGGTGACCGTTGGCTTCAAAACTAAAGGAAAATTGGCTTCAAAACCAGCGATGGTTGAGTCTAAACATCGATGGGAAGCCAATATCTTGCAGATCCCAAATTTATTCAATCCCATAAATCAAGCCAATCACCCCTTTAATGTATTGGTCCGTTAGAGCCTAGTTTGGCACTATAAAAAGGGGTGTTTGGGTCTGCTTTTCTCATCAATTCACTTCACATTATTCATATTATCATTGCATTCAAACAACATCATTTTCCATAGCTTTCTAGAGCCAATTTGTGTGAAGTTTGCGTTGTTCTTGAGCGTACTTATTTTACTCATCATCTACTCTTAAAGAGAGTCTTGTTCTTGAGTGTTTAGTGTTGTATACACGTTAAGGGAAGCTTGTTTCCCTTGGTTGTACGAAGGAAAGGTATTTTCCTTCGGGTTGAAGTCTTGGAGTGCGGTATCTCCGAGCAAGTGTTGTTGAGGCTCGTGGGACTCGAGTTCTCAGGTTGTAACGGTTTGTTAAGCACCCGTAAGCTTATCGGAAGTAGTGTAGCTCAAGAGAGTCTCTTGGGAGACTGGATTAGCCACACGTTGTGGTGAACCAGTATAAATCTTGGTGTGCTCCCTTTACGCTTTCTACGCTCTTTACTTTTCACGTTCTTAATTTTTTATTCCTGTGATTTCTACGATCAAACGCTATTCACCCCCCCCCCTCTAGCGTTGGTCACTTATTCTAACAATTGGTATCAGAGCCTAACTCGCGTCCAAACTTAACCGTTTGAGAGAAAAGCAATCATGGGTTCTTCTTCTAGAAATTTGTACGCAGGAATAGGTGAAGGGCAATCAACTACACGGCCACCTCTTTTTGATGGAACCAATTATACATATTTGAAAGAACGAATGAGAATCTATATTCGTTCCACGAACTTGCAATTATGGTTGGTTATCAAAAACGGGGAAGAGGTGCCGATGAAGAAAGTCGGAGACAAGTTGATCCCCAAGACCGAAGATGAATTTGATACCGAGGACATCAAAAAGGTCGAAAATTATGCAAAGGCAATAAACATGCTCTATTGTGCCGTAAATCCTGATGACTACCGCAAGATCTCCTGCTGCTCAACCGCCAAGGAGATGTGGGATAAGCTCGAGGTGACGTACGAAGGGACAGACCAAGTACGTGAAGCCAAGATCGACTTCCTCACCCAAGAGTATGAGATGTTTAGGATGAAGGAGCACGAGAAGATTGACGACATGTTCGACCGATTTTCCAAGATAGTCAACGATCTTCATGCATTAAAGAAGACTTACACCGACAGGGATCTTGTGCGAAAGATCCTATGGAGCTTGACATCCGAATGGCGATCCAAGGCCGATGCCATCTATGAGTCAATCAGCACATCAAATGTCACCATCGACGGTTTAAGAGGTAATTTAAAAACTTATGAATCTACTATACTTAACTTGTCTTTGAATGACCAAAGGAAAGGCATAGCATTAAAAGCCTTCAAAGAACCAACGATGAATGACCCAAGTGACGATGATGAAGTCAAGCTTGTCATGAAGAAGTTTTGCAAACTTCTAAGGAAGAAAGAAAAGGTTGAGGATGGCCCTGTGTGCTATGGATGTGGTGAAGCCGGGCACATCAAGAACAAATGCCCAAGAAGCGGAAGGAATGCTTGTCCCTTCAAAAAGCAAAGAGCATACATCTCTTGGGGTGGCAACTCCGGCGATGAGTCAAGCGAGCAAGAGGAAGACGAAGAAGCAAACCTTTGTCTCATAGCTCAAGAAGAAGAGGAGTCTGCCAACGACGAAAGCCAAGAGGTATGTAATTCTTCTACTGTTTCTTATTCTCTTGAAGAAATGCAAGAAGCTCTCCAAGAGCTTTATGACGAGTTTGTTAGCGCTTCTAAAACCAGCAAAGCTTTAAAGAAACATTTTTCTAATCTTGAAACTGACCTTGAAAAACTTCAAAAGGAAAACGAAAAACTAAAAGAGAAAAATAAGTTTTATGGTAAAAGAAGCGTCGACAAACCCGAAAGCTCTAAGAAAAATTGTGACACTTGCATAGCTTTGAAAGAACAAGTCACAAAACTTGAGAGTACAGTTAAGAAATTTAATACTCCGCACAAAGATCTTAATTTACTCCTTGACACTATGCACTTTTCTAAAGAAGGAATATGTTTTAATAAAAACGAAGCTAAGGATAAAGAAAATGTTGAGCAAACACCTAGACAACCTCCTAAGGCTCAACGTAAGAAAGCTAAAAATCAAGTTAATAGAAAACCTAGTCAATATAAGAACACTAGACAACCTAGACAAAAACCTAGGAATGAAAATGTTCATGGTAGACAACCTAAGAAAAATTATCAAAATGATTTGGTGCATAAAAATAATTTTTCTCAAAATAGAAGAGACAATATGAGAACACCTAGAAATGATCCTTTTGAAAACATGCATAAACCATCCTTTTCTCAAAATAGGACAAACATGGTTAGGCCCCCTAGCTATTATCAACCTAGGCATATGTTCAACCCAAACGTAGTATGCCATTATTGCAATAGGGTAGGACATATAGCTCCTGTGTGTTTTACCAGACATAGACACTTCACCTATAATGAAACGTGCTAACGAAAAGAAATCCTTTGGAAAAGGATATTCGTATCATAAACAATCTCCACAGGACAATGCACAAAAGAAACCTTACTATTTCTCCTACTTTGACAAAAAGAAGAAAGTCCACATTCCGTTACCGGAACCAACACAAATCACACCGAGATATCGGCACTCCGTTCAGGTAGACTGGAACCCGCCAACCACGAGATCATGGGTTGACCAAGGCAATTCCTAACGATCATCTAATCGTGTGTGTGTGTGTGCGTGTAAGGAAACGAATTTTGGGTGTGTGAGTGGGCAATAAAGGTTAACTAACCCCCAAGGACCCATAGACATACTTTGGGTACCAAAGTGTTGCTTTTTTGCAGGTACGTATCGAAGTGAGGAACTCAGGGGGAACCAGCGATGGGTGGTTTATCCCATCGCTGGGAAGGAAGTATTTTCTAACGAGCAGCCCTCTTCCCATCGCTGGGTTTTTTACACTTTTTTTTAAAAAAATTTTTAACGGATTTCTAGTAGCTGTCTTCCCATGGATGGGAGAACCTTACCATCGCTGGGAAGGCTGCCTTCACTTTTTCCTCCCTTTCTAGTACCTGGCTTCCCATCGATGGAAGAACCTTACCATCGCTAGGAAGACTGCCTTCACTTTTTCCTCCATTTCAAGTACCTGTCTTCCCATCGATGGGAGAACCTTACCATCGCTGGGAGGCCTGTTGCAATTCAAAAATCATAGCCGTTGGGCACCTCATTCAATGCCCAACAGCCATATTGTTGAACACCAAGGGCCCAAATTCTCTTTTCCTATAAATATTAACCATCCTTGGTCATTTTTAACACACAATTTACATTCATTGTGCATACTTTAAGCCTCTACTCACTTTCTAAACGCTTCAACGATGGCCAGCGGAAAGTCGAGGACCAAAACCGAGGCTTCAAAGAAGAAGGCCAACACCGACGCCACGACCTCTTCTTTATTTTCTCCTTATTAAATATGATTGATTTTTTATCCGTTGTATTCTGCATTTCCCCTTTAATGAATAAAAGTTTACTTTTAATTCTTTTTGTTAATGTCAAAAGGGGGAAGATATAAAGGTAATGCATAGATTGAGGGGGAACTTTTTCTAAAACTAACTCTTATTCAACACATAAACTTTGTTGAAAAGAAAATTGCATTTATTAAGGGGGAACATTTTTTAAGTCTCAAATCAATCCTCCTATGCATAACCCCGTCTTGTTTGCCATTATCAAAAAGGGGGAAATTGTTGAAATACGGGTTTATCACGTTTTTGTACTAAAGCCGAGTTCGTTTTTATGATAGGTTTTGATAATGCCAAACTGCCGTGAACGAGACAAGTTGTTGAATATACAAGGTGAGAAATAAATATAAGATGAAAGCAAGAGAACAAGAGCTAAAAGAGACCAAGAACGAAGACCGTAGTCTTTAGCGTCGTTGAGTCGGTCACAATGTGATCAAGACCGACCCAAGCTTTACATTTTGGCTCTTTAGGCTAAAATTATTTTCATTGCATTTCACAAATCATAAAAATGTTTTTCAAACATGTTTAAAACATTAAAAACACTTGGTGGTCGCCCAAACCAAAAACAAAGCCATCCGGCATTCGGCTTTCAGAAACCAGCGTTCAGCATTCAGTTTTCGGCGTTGGTTTTTGGCGTCCGAACCAACCAAGTGGTTTTCAAAATTTTATGATTGGTTTTTACTTCTGGGAAAATTTAAATAGTTTTCCATCAAAAATACTTCAAAAACCACCTTTCGTTTTTTGTCGTTTGATAAAAACCATGCGAAACGGCATAAACTTGGCTAGCCGCGGTTTTTACTTAAATGCAGTGGTTTCGAGTCTTTTTGTTTGGGAATTGTTTTTGAGTGCATTTAAATGGTTCTCCAATCAAAACATCATGAAAACCACCTTTCGGTTTTGTCTTTTGGTTAAAACCACCCGTGTACGACGTTGACTTGGTCAACCGTGGTTTTTACCTTAACAACGTGGTTTTCAACTTACAAAGCTTGTTTTGACATCACAATACGTTAAAAAAGTGTTTTAAATACTTAGTATTTACTTTGGAGAACTTTGCATTTTTCGGTCGGGTTTCAGCTCCGGTCAGCTAGGCCATGGTTCTGGGCTGGCCATCTACCCAGCAATGGTAGATATCACCCATCCATGGATAAGTGATCCCGGGATTCCAGAATCATGCCACCCAGCGATGGGAGATATTACCCAGCGATGGGTAAGCAACCTTCAACCCAATTGAATTCCAGAACCATGCCAAACAGCGATGGGAAACTCTACCCATCGCTGTTCAAGCCTTGGTCCAATATAATCACAAGGCAGAATGTCCTCACCCAGCGATGGGAGGATATTACCCAGCCATGGGAAGGCATGACCGTTTGAAGTCATTTAAGGTTGATTCTTTCCTTGTTTGGAAGTCAACCTCCCACCCAGCGATGGGAAGCTTGTACCCATCGATGGGTAGGTGACCGTTGGCTTCAAAACTAAAGGAAAATTGGCTTCAAAACCAGCGATGGTTGAGTCTAAACATCGATGGGAAGCCAATATCTTGCAGATCCCAAATTTATTCAATCCCATAAATCAAGCCAATCACCCCTTTAATGTATTGGTCCGTTAGAGCCTAGTTTGGCACTATAAAAAGGGGTGTTTGGGTCTGCTTTTCTCATCAATTCACTTCACATTATTCATATTATCATTGCATTCAAACAACATCATTTTCCATAGCTTTCTAGAGCCAATTTGTGTGAAGTTTG